AATACTCTAGATTTGAACATGTAACCATGTTTATCAGCAGAATGAATACCTCGAGTCTCTTCTCCCAGTCCGCACCATAGATATTACACAGCACAGGGCCAGCTTTCACGACAAATTGAGGCAGTTCTTTGAAGAATTCCTGAAAGCTACTCAATAAAGCAAGATGATAGGAACCATAAGCATATCAAAATGTTAAAGCTACCCAACTTAACTTGCACAAAATGAAATCATACTTCAGCTTCACGGATCTCAATATCCGGCACAAAGTCAATCCACTGTCATGGCACTGGCGGTGCTCCTTATCTCCAATAGACTTCGACAACCTCTTGACAGAGTACAGTACAAATGCAGACAAAAATCTTTCTACTTCTTCAGGCTACAATATTAAAGGATTTATTTAGCTCTTTCAATTGCATCCACAGATATATAGGACAGCAGATGTATCACTTAAAACACATGGTCAGAAAAGTTCACCGTTCCGCTTCCAACCGCTGAAGTAGTAGACGACATGAGATGCTTTGTCTCTTTGAAAAGCTTAATGGCCTCCGAATAAGCATTCTCCTCCAATGATAGTACACTCTGTTACCACATGACAATACAATCAGAAAACATTAAACCTAATAACAACAGAAACACAGTCACAAAGTAAACAGGCAAGAAAACGAAAAGACAGCTTATACACCAAGGTCAAAGGGTTATTGTTCAAGCTTTTATACCTTGCATAGCGACATGAACCGGCCTTCAACGGCATCAGTTTCCCCTCCATTCCTCTGAGGATCAATGGACATTGCAGTTGAAGACGATGTATCTTCCATATCTGAAGCTGGTGGACTCATTTAGAAAGCCTATGAGAAAGCATCATTGGCATTAGACAAGCAAGTTGCAGTCAAACAAAACAGAACTTTGAAACTAAAGCTAATGGAATAACAGTCCCAAGGACAAACTAAACTCAGTGCAGCAGCAGAACACATTAAAGAAAGAAAGACTTCAGAAGCTATAGAGCTGAAAGTGATGTGAGCAGGCAACTCAGCTATAGAGAACACACAGCACATACCGGCTACAAAGAAAAGGACACAATTGCCAACTACGGATATAACCCCAGAAACTCAAATCCCAAGGGAGTATTTCAAATACATAAGAAGTGTTCACACCTCCATTAAAGGACTAGGAACAGCGTATAAGCCGCAGCTCAGTCAGCAACTAACAAGGTATAATCTTTGACTCTATCCTAGTCAAACAAATTCAGACCCGAGAAACAGCCTCTAACCTAAACAGCAAACCCAAACCCTGAACCCTACTTCAAAAAAGATGTGGAATTTCAGTATTAACAATTCCGTGAGAACAACCCATTGATGGCAAACGCACAAATTGGGCGAACAGAATACAAATCTATAACCAGCGAAGGATTAAAAAAAGAACTCACAGGTTGTCGGTCGGCTGCAGATCTCCAGAATCAAGAATGCCTTTAAAAATCTCAGCTGATTTCCAGATCCATCCGCAACAAAACCCTAGCTCCGAAATCGCACAGAAACAACGGCAGCCCTCCGACGCCGATTCACAACAACCGGCAAAGAAACGACCGTTTTGCTCCCGAAATTTCTTCGCTTTTCCCCTCGCCGACCTCTCTCTCTCTCTCTCTCTTTCTATCTCTAACAACGGAAGCGTCTTTTTGGGGGGAGAAAAAGAGATGCCTAAGTTTCTTCTCTCTATTCTATTACTAATAGCGCGGGAAAATCCAACATGGCCTATGGGTCTACATACATGACATGCCGCCATACATACATTGCCAGCCAATCATAGGCTGACACGAAGCCCCAGGTAGGTTGTTTTACCGCCAAAACTTTGCCACCGTTACGAGATTCGCTTCCGAGGTGAGTTTCGCCGTTACCACGCGGATAACGTTGACGGGGTTTGTTAGACGGAGGTTTTCGTCCTGTTGGTCTCCTCGGGAATTGCGACCGAAGGCCCAACGTGTGGGTTCTGCCGTCTGCGGGAAATTGTGGGGCCGCCCTCAATAGCTTTGCTTTGTCGTGATTTGCTCGTGACATGTCGTTTTGTGTGTTGAAATTGTTGAACAGCACAAAAGGGCAAATTGCATTCAAGTACACCAACTCTTCACTCAATCATAATCTAGCTACTAAAGTTCGAATTTGTTTTGTATGAAACCCAGGGATTTTGGGAGTTTGAAAATTAATTATTCTGATCTGATCAATTTACAAAAATAATATATCCAACCGATATCATCATCCTGTCATCAAAATATTAGCAGTATGTACTCTGTACTATACTTCCATACTTAACCCTACTAGTCACTAGATTTATACTTGTTGCAAATTTTCTCAAATCGATCTTCGACCTATGATATATCTGCATATTTAACTTTTTTGTGCTAATTTATTTTACATTCCTCTCTTTTATAAATTCAAATCCGCTTTCTTTTATGTATCTTTTTTTATTAGGGGTGTTTAATGGTCTGATTCGGACTGTACCAAACTCATGAGAAGGATAATTCAATAGAAAAAGACATCATATAAGCAAGGACTAGACAAACCTTGCATTTAGACTTATTTCCTCTAGTTGAAAGCAAGTTGAATGCAAACTGACGAGTTTATTCATTGACTTGGAATCGAGTTTTATACATGGACTCTCAACTAAAGCCTTTGGAATCGACTTTGACAAACAACTCTAACTACTCGATCCCTGGGAATTAGCTCCAAGACTAACCAACTGACTCTGTCAAAGCAAACAGCTGCAACGGCTAGTTTAGCCAGCCTGACCCCTACAGACTCAAGACAAACATTAAGGACTAAACTGCAAAACACCAAACGACACAGTCTAGAAAAACACTTAAACCCTTAAGTACTTAAACGACACAGTTTGACTCCAACTCTTTCCTTCTCCAGAACAGATTCGAATTCAGCAATGCTTCAGCATCTCCATCTTCAACAGCCTCCCCTGAACTGAAGTTCCATCAAGCAGCATCTTAAGCACCAGTTTGGTCAGGTACAAATGTAAGTTCGATCCATTTTTCTTTAGTATTTATAAAATTCATGAAACTAAATACCCGATCACATTATATTCAATTCAATATGGTGCAGTCCGAATGTCAATATAATCCGATACGATTCGGTACGGACCAAACCATTGCACACCCCAATACTCCTTTAGAGTTCATTTCTAAGTTGTGTATATGTCCCTTGCCATTTTATGTTTCTGTGATAGTCAATTCACTCTTCAATTTTCACCCCTCGGGTAGCTTTCAATTTGCTTGTCTTGCAAGCCCCACATTTTACCTTCTTTTTTTTTTGTGTCTGGAAAACAAAGCTGCACAATCCTATAAACTTCATATCTTACTTGTATGAAATTCAGTTCTATCATCTATGTATGTACGTAGGCAACAGCGCTACAGTACAGAGAGAGATGTCGAGTGCAAAAGTATAAAGAAAATAAGTGAGCGACGTGCCGTAGGTGCCACCGCTAATTGATGAAATAGATCATCATGTCTAAGATCTGGACCCTTATCATCATTCCCTTATTTAATATAACAGGTCATATAGGAATGGGATAGGAGATATGGAGATAAATGAGTGTTTTTTCCCCATAAATACGAGTGAAAAATACTTTAACCTTTCTTGCTCTGCTTCGGTCTTTCTTGCTCTGCATACTTTAACCTTTCTGATGCAATGAACTTGCCCTAAAAATTCAAATGGAATATCATTTCAAAGAAAGAAGAAAAAAAAAACGAATGGAATAATAGTTTGTATCAGTGGTGTTATGAAGATAAGTTTGTCTTGCCAAATGCTATACACTGGTTCAACGATCTCATCACAATCTCCCCTACTATCATCTCGATTGTTGCATAATCACGCCTATGTATCTTTATCGTAATAATATCAGCTTTTTCATTGATGGTTCAGCCTCTGATCCTGAAGAATGGTGTAGTAACTGATTTATGACAAAGTTGATTTCTCTAAATGTATGGAAAATACGAGAAGATACGAATGTTTGCCTCCTAACATGTATCAATTTAACAAAATTCATATATATATATATGGTGGCTATTTCAGCGCACTCACTTTTTTGGGTGCACTCAACTCTAAAAGTGTCTATAGACTATAATACATCAAATTTTGAACTTTAATTAGTACTCTCAATCTAATATGATGATATGACTCTAACCCCTTAACCTTCAATTTTGAATCCCAACCCAAAATCCAAAATTATAAACCTAAACCCTAACCCTAAATCCCTAAATCCTAAATCCTTCAAATTAAATTAAATTTTGAATGATTATTTTTCAAATTCATGTGCTTCTTGTTCATAATATCATAAGCAACAATTGATATCGTTTTGATATGAATCGCATGCTCAGAATGATGATTATGAGGTGGGTGCACTGAGTGCACCCAAAAAAGTGGGTGCGCCGAATAGGCAACCATATATATATATTTATCGATCATGTCAAAATTGTTTTGTCTAACTTTTTAACTGATATGGCATATACAATCAACATACCAAACATTATATTTTACAAATACATCAAATTCGACAATACATATATAATATTATACATGCATTAATAACAATACATCTATTTATCGATCACAAATTCCACACTGTTAGAGAGTGGTATAAGATCCAGCAGAACCTTCTCCCAATAACTCGAGTTATTGGGACCAACTGGTTCTTGACATGGTATCAGAGCCTAGAACTGAAAGGTCATGTGTTCGAATCTCCACGACCCCCAATATTAACCGTTGTCTTTCAAGCACATGGTATGGTGGGTCTGTGCAAACTTCAAGCCCATGGGTTGGCTTTCGTTTGAGGGGGCGTGTTAGACAGTGGTATAAGATCCAGCAGAACCTTCTCCCAACAACTCGAGTTATTGGGACCAACTGGTTCTTGACACACACCACCCCAATATCAATTTTTTTTTTTTTTAAACCCAGAGGAGGGACTCATATCTTGCTAAGTATTTTGCTGTAGAATCACCGTGGTGATAAACATGAACTAAGATCTCACTCACTCAAAAGATAACATATAAATGGAGGAGAGTGATAACAAGTACATGAAGGTAGTTGGGTATTGTGAGTAGTTGGATCACAAGCACGGAATGGCACATCCCTACTACATGTTTAGACATAATCTGCTCCATTAATTAAGGTAGCTGCTGCGGTGGGTCATTGCACCATGATCGGTGACGGGAAAGTTGTCTGTGTGACAGGGGCTTCCGGTTTCATAGCTTCATGGCTGGTCAAGCTTTTGCTCCAACGTGGCTACACCGTCAAGGCCTCTGTTCGAGACCCAGGCGATCCGAAGAAGACGGAGCATCTCCTGGGCCTCGATGGAGCCAAGGAGAGGCTCCATTTGGTGAGAGCAGACCTGCTGGAACAAGGGTCCTTCGATCCCGCCATTGAAGGATGCGTCGGAGTTTTCCACACCGCTTCCCCTGTCTCCTTCTCTGCCACCGATCCGCAGGCGGAGCTCGTCGACCCTGCAGTGAAAGGAACGCTGAACGTGCTGAAATCGTGCGCCAAGTATCCTTCCGTCAAGAGAGTGGTCTTAACCTCATCTACTGCTGCAGTTTTCCACACAGGGAGGCGACTGACCCAAGATTCAGTCGCTGATGAGTCCTGGTTCTCGGATCCAGCCATTTGCGAGCAACTTAAGGTGAGTGAGTTCATAACTGATTAGTCAATTGATGTGGTAAGTTAATCAATCAAGGGTCTAACTTCGTTTTCTTCAATACATTCAAGCTGTGGTACCCGCTAAGCAAGACGTTGGCTGAGATTGCTGCTTGGGACTTTGCAAAGGAGAATGGGATTGACTTGGTGACATTACTGCCTGGTTTTGTGACCGGGCCTCTGTTGCAGCCAACAATTTGCTTCTCGGTGGAGATGATTCTCAACTTGGTTAATGGTAAAAGGGGGAAAGAAAATTGCTCAGTTCCCTCCCTAATCTATCTTCTGGGTTATGCACATGATTTCATGGATACGATATTGCAGGAAGCTTGGAGACATACCCCAACATATATTACAGGTCGGTTGACGTCAGAGATGTTGTGGAAGCTCATGTTAAAGCTTTTGAGACTCCATCGGCTGCTGGGAGATACTGCTTAGTTGGAAGCATTGCCCACTTCTCTCAAGTTTTGGGGATGATAAACGAGCTCTACCCAACACTACATCTTCCTGACAAGTGTGGCTTTTTTCCCCCCTGCTCTCTTCTGTTGATGTTTCCGATTTTCATTTATCGGTTTCTAGTAGTTGAAACTTGAAGCATGGTTTTTGTGGCAGATGTGAAGATCGCAGCGGCATCATTCCGAGCCTGCCGATGTTTACAGTGTCCACGGAAAAGGCAGAAAGTTTAGGGATCAAGTTCACCCCAATGGATGTGTCTATTAGGGACACCATAGAGAGCTTGAAGGCAAAGGGCTTTCTTCAGTGCTAAATGTTGTTGTTTTGGACTATGATCCGCAAAAGTGTATCACTATTCAAATAACATACTTCATTAGACCAAAAATCATATAGCTTACCTTGGATAATAGCTTGCAAATTGAGGATGGCACTAAATGGGAAAATGCATTCTAGTAGTAATGTTTTCAACCATCCGGCGGCAACACCCTAGTCGACAGACAGTCTGAAATCTGCAGCAACTTCCAAGTTCCGACAACTCGAGTCTATCCAACCCGGGAACCTCCATAATCTTTCTGAATTGACAAATCTCATGTTCCCTTAGATGCTTCAGACCAGATAGGTACCGAACCAACTTGCTTCAATGTTTAGCCTCCTCAGTTTGTTGACTTCAGAAAGGGCGTTCGAGGCTTCTGCAACTAGGCTTTGTTGAGTAATGGGAATATTTTGAGGCAGTCAGGCAGGCTTTTCACGCTAATAACAATATTTTGAATATCAATTCATGCATTTCAAGTACAACTACCCGGACACACCGATAAGGAAATCCAGAAATACAACTTATATAAGCTTCAGCAAGTGAACACAAGAACTTTGAAGCCAATTACAAAACTACTGAAAGAAGTGATGAAAACACCGTCCTACTATCCTAGTAGGCGTGTGCAAGTAGTTCAAGACTGACAGGAGCAAATAAGGTAAACTACATTACAAGTCCCCACATAATAAAGCATAGATTGTCTGAATCCAAGCCAAAATTTGAGTTACCACTCAAAAGTACATCATGGATCAACTTCTTCAACCATCATCCATCACAAGGAGCAAAAACATAAAAACCATAGAGAAACAAGTGAACAAACACATTTCAAACCCGCTCTCTGTTAGCTTGAGAAACTACCTCTACCTGACCGTTACAATGTCATCGATCTTCAAAATCATTCTCACACACTCTGTTGCTAGAGTTATGGCGCTGGTGCTCACGAGCAATGGCTGCACAACGTTCTCCTCCAAGATGTTTGTAATTTGCCCTTTCCTCACATTGATCCCAGCATTGATCTCTCCTTGAGCATGCCTATTTCTCAGCTCCGTCACAATGGTAATCGGATTCAGCCCTGCATTCTCTGCAAGAGTATAAGGGATGACCTCGAGTGCCTCTGCAAATGACCTCACACAGTAACCTTCCATCCCGTGCAGAACTTTGGCCCATGCACCGAGCTGCCTGGACAGCTCAATCTCGGGAGCCCCACCTCCTGCAATCAAGAATTGCTTGTTGACCAAGCATCTAATGACACAAAGTGCATCATGCAAGCTCCGGTCAGCTTCATCAAGAACCAACTGATTAGACCCACGACAAAGAACTGTGGCAGTCCTTCCCATATCTCTAATCCCAGTAATCTTCACAATCTTGCCTTCCCCAACTGAAACCTCCTCCACGAGATCAGCATAACCCATCTTCTCTTCTTTGAAATGCTCGATATTAGCAATTGGCAAGCAGTTTAATGTCTTGGTAATGAACTCGATGTCGTCTCTCTCAACATCCTTCACAACCAATATCTTGGCTTTAGCCAAGTAATGCAGTGACAGGTCAGTGACTGCATCCCTAAGAATACTCTTCTGAATCAACAGAACATTGCAACCGGTTGCTTTGATCTTCTTGATCATTCCCAAAATGTAGTTCCTCTCTTCCTTAAGAATCCTATCCATCTGTGTGTAATCAGACACCACAATGCTTTGTTCTATATCAGTCTTGGGAGGTGATATTTGGAACTGAATCACAGCGATTTTCGCATTCTCCATCCGGGTGAGTCCACCAGAGGCATGGCTCACTTTCTTATCAAAGACCAAACCTTTAACCATCTCGGTATCATCCACAGTTCCACCTAGCTTCTTCACTATCTTAATATCCCTAAGGTCTACCAAATCAGGCTTGGCCGGATCAACTACTGACAAAACAGCATCTACAGCTAAAGGAGCCAGAAGCGTGGAGTACTGACTCACCACTTTACTGTTCAAGGAAGTGCTCGCAGATTTGATGAGCGATTCCCGATCTGATAGCTCAACAGGGACTGCCATAGCAGTTAGCACATCCACTGCCTTAACAGAAGCTTTGTGGAGAGAGTCGGAGATTACCGTGGGATGGATTCCACTAGACAGTAGCAACAGGCACTGCTTGAGAAGTGCACCGGCAATGACGACGACGGTGGTGGTGCCATCGCCAGCGGTGGTGTCCTGCGACTTGGAGAGCTCGACCAGCATCTTCGCAGCAGGCTGGAGCACCCCCATCTGGTTCAGAATCGTAGCTCCGTCGTTGGTGATTATCACCTCGCCGCTGGCCGTAGAAATCATTTTGTCCATCCCTTTCGGGCCCAAGCTGGTCCTCACCGCATCGGCAACTGCTCTGGCCGCTGTGATATTAGCCTGGCGGACATCTTCCTTCCGCTTGTTGTCGACATACGACTCCGTTTTCGAGGATCTGAGTTGGGGGACTGCTGGTGCCGCCATTGGAGTAGCAGCGTGGGGGAAGGATCTCGGAGAAGCGAAGCGAGAATGGCTATAAACCCTAACCGAGAAAATGAAGGGAAGGAGAAGGTAAAACTGGAACAGAGACTAGATCTGAGCGAGCGACTCTAGTTTGACGACCAGAAGGTTCGAGAATAAAAACCTTTACCTGTGTTTGTTGGGCCTCGCCCAAAAGAATACACCTGGTATATGGGCCGCTTATTCCTTGGAATTACAGGGGCTTTAGTCTTTAGAATCCCGGATGGAAAATTTTCTGTTTGCTACTCTTTATTTTTTTTCGTTTACATTCACTCTTTAAGGTCTCGCAAGATCGACAGAGTTTTGCTGGTTTTCTAATTTCACACACGCCGCCGGTCGCCGGATTTTCCTCTCTCCCAACTTCATAGACTCGTTAGTTTGACGGAGCTGCTCTCTGTGTGGCTGAAAAGCGAAGACACGGAACGGAACCGCCGGAAGTTACTTGTCCATCGGAACTCTCTCCGGCCGTCGAGATTTCCGAAATGGTGAAATTCGGCCTTTTCTTTCTTTCTTTCAGTGCGCCAAGTTCTTTTGCGTTTTCTGTTTATAAATTTCACAGTCTTGCTTCCAGCATTCTCGATTGTTTTAGGGTTTCGCAATCTGTAGGGGGTTTATAGTTTTGAGTTTTGACTCCCTTTACTTGGTGACCAAATGCCGCAGGAAGAGTTCAAGAAAGCAATCCTTCAGCCTGGGCCGCCTGAGAATTTCGCTCTTCAAACTGTACAAGAGCTCATCAAACCTCAGGTTTGTTCTTCTCGTTTTTCTGGAAAACTTTCTGGAGATTTTGGGTGCATGTTTCATTGGAAATGGTTTTGGTTTGTTACTTGGTGATAGAGGCAAACAAAATTAGTGCAAGATGAGAATCAATTGTTGGAGAACATGCTCCGGACGTTACTTCAAGAGCTTGTGGTGCGTATCTAATTTAGTTGCTTACATGGTTGATGCTGTTTGGGAGTTTTCTATGATCCATTGCCTTTTATTAGCTTGGGTTCACTGTTACACAGTTGTTGACTTCAGATGTTAACCTTGACAATGGCAGTCTTCTGCAGCACAGTCAGGGGAGCCGATAATGCAGTATGGACAATCAATTGATGATGAAGAAAGTTCTCAGGGCCTAATCCCTCATCTCTTAGGTCTGTCCATAATCTTACTAGCTGTTGGTGACTTACTTGAGTTTACCCTGTACTTTTCTGCTTGACAATCGTGGATATGTCGTAATAGCATTTTTCTGTGAACTATAAGCTCTAAAGAATTGTGAGGCTGTAGGTGGTTTTAAATAGGCAGTTGTATTAAACCAAATCTGTGGAATTTGTAAATGTAGGTTTTAGCATAACTGGCGTTGGGTAGTGTATTATTTAGTAATGGATAATCTGTAACTGAGCAGTAGTGGTGGCTTCTTGAAATATAGAATCTTTCACTTGATACATGTCGTTCAGACAAATCAAGGAAACAGGGAGTTCCAACCTTCATGGAACTCACTCACTAATTTTTATGCTACCAGATGTTGTGCTTTATCTCTGTCAGAGAGAACATATTGAAGGTGGAATGATATTTCAGCTGCTGGAAGACTTGACGGAAATGTCCACAATGAGGAATTGCAAAGACGTATTTGGCTACATAGAGGGTAAACAGGACATACTTGGGAAGGTATGTGTTTTTAAGAGCTGTCTGATGTTTCAGATGATATTACTTTTAGCTTTATGCGATTGATTGTATTATTAATTGAGAGGCTTATCTTATTAAATATCCACTTTATGTTCAGCAAGAACTTTTTGCTCGTGGAAAACTTGTCATGTTGAGGACTTGTAATCAACTTCTCCGCCGACTCTCAAAGGTATGTTAACTGGTTACCAAAATGTTCTCGATACATGTTGATCAGAAAAACTTTTTTGTATGGGTATTGGTATTCTGACAAGCTGCTTATTTATAAGACTGCACCATTGAGTCTATCGCATCATTATTCTGAGTCTGAAAAAAGTAGATGTCAGTTTCGAAAATAATTAGTTATTTTGATTGTCTATGTGTGACTCAGTATTCATATTAGAATCTTGGCTTTGTTCTTTTACACGTACCCTCTACCCTCTCTCTCTCTCTCTCTCTCTCTCTCTCTCTCTCTCTCTCTCTCTATCTACATTCTTCATAAGCAATGTGCAGAGTTAAAAAGGATGGTAAGAGCTATGGTTGACTTTCGTGTGGCAATAATGTTGCCCATTTGGCATAGTAGTACTCACTTGATATATGATTTTCTAGGCAAATGATGTTGTTTTCTGTGGACGGATTCTCATGTTTCTGGCACACTTTTTCCCATTATCAGAGCGTTCAGGTACGTTATTATCCCTGCTTCATCTTCCTCTATTCATTGATTCCTTTGAGTGACCCTTTTAATCCGTTTCTTCACTTCATGTGTACAGCGGTCAACATCAAAGGAGTTTTCAACACATCAAATGAGACGAAGTATGAAAAGGACCCACCAGAAGGTACATTCTAGCTTCAAAAATTTTGTTATATGGTTCCTCTATCTTATAGCCTGAGTTTTTGTGCTGTTTTTCTAATCTCCGCCTTCTTTTTTAGGCATTTCCATTGACTTCAACTACTACAAAACATTGTGGAGTTTACAGGTAACAATTTGTCACATCAAAACATTTTAATGGAAACATTTCATTGTGAACGAAGGTGTGGTTTATATTAATCGGACTCGCAAGAGGACTTGTAGTTATTAATGGATTAGTTGAATAATATTTCCCACCTGTGGAGGTTTTTTATGCTTAAGCTAAAATATCTTGCACAACTGTTCTTCCAGGAATTCTTCTGCAACCCTGCCTCCTTAACTGTTGCCCCAGCCAAGTGGCAGAAGTATACGTCTAGTCTGACGGTAAATTCTTCTCTAGAAGTTGCACTTCACCGTCTCTCTTTCTGCAACATTTGGCTTCAATACAAGTCCGTTGACTTTTGATTTGTAGGTTGTGTTGGATACCTTTGAAGCACAACCATTGAGTGAGGAAGAAGGAGATGCAAATAATTTGGAGGAAGAGGCAGCATCTTTCAATATAAAATATCTTACTAGCAGTAATTTGATGGGACTTGAGGTAATTGGTATTACCATTACTGGTTATACAAACATACATGGCATGTAAGTTATAACGTATTGCTACCTATCTGTTTTCCAGTTAAAAGATCCAAGCTTCCGACGCCATGTTCTTGTACAGTGCCTTATAGTCTTTGATTATCTTAAGGTAATGATTGGTAAAAGTTTCAGAATGGCGATCTATTTTTTATTTTATTTTTCCTTTTGCTACATTGCACATCTCTCTCTTGATAGTTTGATGGAATGGAACTATGATTTCTGTGTAGGCTCCTGGTAAACCTGACAAGGATGTCACTTCTGAAACTATGGTTAGTGTTATTCCTATCGAGTTTTTAAGCTTTCAGCTATCTATACCTTTGATAACACGGCTTAATGTATCCAAATCATCATGTATGTTCATGTGTCCCCAAAAAAATTAGACACAGACACTATCTACTAGCATACAAGGCAATGAATCTGTATAGCCTTTGGCTAGTGGAACTAAGTTATCTATGCTAAATTGGTCACTATGAACTGCGCAGAGCCATTTAACTTGTAGCATAGGTGATATTAGGACACTCCATGCATGACTCTGAAGTTCCTCAAGGATTGATTATTTGAGTCTCTCCTTGGTTAGTTTCTTAAAACTATACTATGCGTCGATGCTTTATGTGCATTCCGGGACATTATTATTCACTCTATTTTGGATGTTTCCTTTATGTTTTATATACACTGAAACCTGTAACATCCGGTATTCTAGCTACAAACTCACTTCAATTTTATTGCTCATGCCAGAAAGAAGAGATAAAATCCATTGAGGAGCGTGTGAAGAAATTACTCGAGATGACTCCTCCTAAAGGAAAAGATTTTCTTCGCAAGATTGAGCATATACTAGAACGTGAAAAAAACTGGGTATAAGCTTCCTTTTGAATCCCCCTCCCCCTATCTTTTAGTCAGAATAAAGATGTGATATTTAATTATTCACAATGCTGGTGCTTTTAGGTTTGGTGGAAGCGTGACGGATGCCCTCCATTTGAAAAACAACCAGCAGAGAAGAAATCAGCCCAGGAAGGGAATAAGAAACGGTATTATGCTCCATGTACTGATCCCTTTTTAGTTTGTTCAAATCCGGGGCGATCTTGTCAAAATTATGCTACCCCCTCTTCTTTAATTTTGTGCTTCTGATGCTCGTTTCACACTTGCATGTTGATAAAATGTGGTACGTGTATGTTTTGAATCCTGCAGTAGACCTAGGTGGAGATTGGGAAACAAAGAACTATCCCAGTTGTGGAAATGGGCAGACCAGAATCCTGTATGTATAAACTCTTCAGCCTGCTGTTTCAAATCTCTGCTTCAGTATTACTGCTTACATTATTAACTTAACTTTTCGTTCAATTCTCAACAGAATGCTTTGACTGACCCTCAGCGTGTTCGGACTCCTTCAATCACGGAATATTGGAAGCCCTTGGCTGAAGATGTAAGCTCCTCTGCCATTTTGAAACTCAAATAACATCTTCTGATTTGGTTTCGTATCCATCTTGTTGGAAGATAAAAATACTTCTATCTTCATTGTCTGAACAGATGGACCCGGCAGCAGGAATTGAAGCAGAATATCACCACAAGAACAACCGAGTAGCTATAAGCTCACCATATCTTCTCTTTTCTTCGCATCACAATGGCAGTTTTACAGCAGAGCTAGGAACTTGTCATTACTAATATAATGACGGTTTTCCGTGCAGGTATATTGCTGGAAAGGTCTGCGGTTTTCAGCAAGGCAAGACCTTGAGGGTTTTTCCAAAGTAAGTTTTGACTTTGATCTTTGTGAATTTATTGATCGGGAGTCCAATTTGTGCATCCTTCTTAGTATGAAAGAAACTTGTTGGCAGTTCACTGACCTTGGTGTTGAAGGAGTAGTTCCTCTAGAAATTCTGGCACCTGAGGTCCGGTCCAAGTACCAGGCTAAACCGAGTGACAGATCTAAGCGTGCCAAGAAGGAAGAAGTCAAGGGCGGGTCACAACCATCAGAAGAAGCTCAGGTAATTCAATTTTGCGGGGAGGCATTTCCTCTATCTTCGTGTATCTCACTCTATGGTGGCTGACCCTAACCGAACTGTTGATCAGATGGGTATTTGTCTGAACTTAATGACGGGTATAAACCGGGAAAAAATTCAAAAGTACCACTGTTTAAAAAAAAATTCCAAAAATACCACTCAATCCCAAAAAATTCCAAAAATACCACCCTTTTTAAAAAACCGCCACCCCACCCAGCGGTTTGGTCGAAAACCGCTTGTCGGGGCGAGGTTTTGGACCAAACCGCGGGCCTAGGGGGCGGTTATAAAAAAAAAAAAAATTGGACCCAAACCGCTGGGTGGGGTGGCGGTTTGGCCCAAAACCGCCACCCCAACCAGGGGTTTGGTCCAATAGTTCGGTCGAAACTTCAAACGAACGTAACTTTGCACTCGGGTATCCGATCGTAGCGATTTTTTTTTTCATTTCGCATAACTTTTCAAGATCTACAACTTTTACTAGGCTGAAATTTTCAAAACATGAACTATTTGTGGATATACGGGACCTTGAGAATAACTTTACCTTTACTTTTCAGAAATCCATGTACATTTTGAAATTATGATTATATTAAAAGTTGTAGATCTTGAAAAGTTATGCGGAATAAAAAAAAATTCATGACATTCGGATTTTGGAGCACAAAGTTATGGCCGCCCAAAGTTTGACGAAATAAAAAAAAAGGTCGTTCGGGGTGGCAAATGGCGTTTTGTCGAGACGAAGACGGAACCCGACTGTTTGAGACTTGCAAGATCTCAAAAAGTTATTCGGATTCAAAAAATGGAATTTTTTGGAGTTGGGTGGTATTTTTAGAATTTTTTTTTTAAACAGTGGTACTTTTGGATTTTTTCCTATAAACCGGGTCTCCATGGTTTTTTGTGGCGAATTTGATGGAAGTTCAAATCTTTCATCCTGCATATTATGCTTTGAATTTTCAGTAAGATTTTAGTATTGAGTTATTAATTGATTCCTGTCTCTGGTTAACTGAAAATCCTAAACTAGTTAGCCACCCTATCCTCTCTGCCTGACCTTTGTATTTAAATAGGTTGCAAGCGAGAACGACGGTGAAGGTGCTAGGCCAGTTGAAGCCTCGGCCGCACCAATGGAGACTGATGCAGCTGCAGGAACTGTGAACACTTCCCAAGATGGTGGTACTCCTCCAACAGCGGAGGAGGAACAAAAGCTTAACTCAGATACTGATGTGGGTCAAGAAGCAGGGCAACTGGAAACCGATGGACCGCTTGAACCGGACCGTGAAGCGGTAGAAACTGTGATGGCTGACGGGGAGACTGACGCAGAGGCTGATATATAAGCTGTGAGCTGAATAGTCTCTTAATCAAAGAGCCCGGACTTGAATGTGGCAGCAAAAACAGTGATGGTGCCCACTTAGGTCTCGTTTCTGAGGCGCTTGATAAGTTGCCATTGTTTTTACTGAACTGTGATGAGATAGTATGAAGCAAACATTTTGTAATGTCATTTGATGGCAGCTCCTAATACGTTCTAACATAACGAACAAAACCTTAGTGTTCCATTTTGTAGGTGATATTGTAAAAATAAGTGTAATGTTTCAATTGTAGAGAATTGTAACGATGAAGTCTTTGTATGTTTCAATTGTAGAGAATTGTAACGGTGAAGTCTTTGTATTGTATCTGTTTGATTAATGGTGATTGTATCGATTATAGAAATTAAGAGGGAGGAAGAACTCAACTTCGGGGCTGATTGTTTGAGAATTGCAATAACGCATATGTTTGTTGCCATTAAGAACTAGGGTTATAGGTATAATATGCCCCTCTATTAGGATGTATTATCAAACATGCCCCTTTACTATTTTTTACATCAAATATGCCCCTGTACTTTGAAAAAATTATCAAACATGCCCTTCTATTAAAATTTCCATTGAAAAAATCGTCAATCGTGGTTGAACCGAGATTTAGACGACCCGACATAGGCAAATGGGAGGAAAAATGTAAGTTTTGTCCCCTGTTTTATTTCCCTGGGTCTTTTCAAAGTGAAATTATTTGAATGATTTGATTATACAAAAGAACCAAAAAAATTCTAAAGTGAATTTATTAGGTATATTTTAGTCATTTGTGTCGCCCAAACTAAAGTTCGACCTTGGTTAACGGTTTTTGGATGAAAATTTTAACAAAATGGCATGTTTGATCATTTTTACAAAGTACAGGGGCATGTTTGATGTAAAAAATAGTAGAGGGGCATGTTTGATAAAGCATCATAATAGAGGGGCATATTATACCTATAACCCTAAGAACTATAATTTCGAAACTTTTTTTGACGCCTAAAGAAAGAATATGTTTAATACATGGATGAACTGGTTTTACGTGATGTTGCCATTTTGGATAATTAGGTTGTGAATAACAATGAAGTGAAAGGACAAATTATATTATGAATAATGAAACGAAATACAGGGAACACGTTAGATTTAGCATGGCAATGGATCAAATTGGGGACAGATAGTGCAAATCTATAATTCTATTTAAAGTTGTTTGGGTTTTACTCTAACTCATGCACAAAATAATCGACGACTAGAGTATCAAAATCATACTCATAACCCGATCAGGTTCTGAGTATTCACGACCAGGAGTAATAATTTTCATTTATAATTCCAAATTAATATGACACTATATAAGTGAAAAAGTACAACAATAAATTACTAGAACGAAAGAAAATTAGTTAAAAATCACACAAATTCATAAAATATTATATATGTACAAAATATCATGTGTTAAGAAAAATAATCATAATTTTAAACAAAATATGTGTATAATTATAATCATGAGAGTTTATATTGAATAATGAGAAAATCATTCTCATTCATCATTCATTATCCACAATGTTCGAATTCAAATATTATTCAGTCCCATTAAAACCCCTTCCGATTCGATTTTACCCTACCTAATTAGATCGGATTCGAACTAATATCTATAGATATAGTTAATTTTTTTCCATCTCTAGTTTCATTTTGCTTCAAACTAATATCCATAGTTATAGTTATTTTTGCCATCCTTAGTTTCATTTTACAACAAATTATGTTGTGAAAGAATAATGAAATACATTGCATGTGCCTAGAAGTATAAAATAAATTGATTTCGCATTAAAATGAAACAAGAAAAAAAATGTACGGCTGGAGAAACCATGTATTTCATTGCCAGGGTATAAGTACACGACTAACAAACGACCCCTAGGAGAGTTGTAACTCACTGTTTAGGCACCAACTGTTTGACCTGATTCAACAGTCACAAACTCACAATTCATATACTTGTAGAAGAATACAAGTGACCCTTATATCTAACGAGTACAATTGCAAAACCCACAGCAATAAACTTTAAAAGCTTGGAGAAAACCAGTGAACTGGTTGAATTGACAAGTGACAACATCCGCCAGCAAAGTCCCAGAAATATCCTCATGCTTTCTGCAAATAGAACGAGCAATTGCAGAATGATAACCCGTGATTAACAAGGCAGGGAAGGCATAACCAATTTCCCAGGTGAAAATAAGTCGATTATACCTGCTGCGTCGGAAGGTAGAGTTTAAATTCAGGTGGGAGTTCCTCTTCTGAGTAGAGTCGATCGGCGAAATAGATCCTCCTTAAGCGACAGTTTGCATGCACCTGAACTCGTAAAGTCTCGACGTAGTTCGTCCCATAAGCCCTCTTAGTAAAATCAGCCAGATTCAACTGTATTTGATTCCACCCTTCATCGAGTTTCAGCGGCATGGTGCAAATGTATGGCTTCACCCGAGTAACAGCCTGAAGAGAGAAGTTTGAAATCAGTATGGCAGTGTTCAAAATTCTGTGAAACCGTCATTCTGTGAATATCACATAATCTCTGTAAATCTAGCCTTCTAGCTCCAACCATTCAACTCTTACAATTGGAAAACTTCACCAGCTAAAACAAATGAATCAAAACTTTTAGGGAAGGCAAAAACTTGGAGGACATACAATCATTTCCAATGGAGAGAGCTCTGATTAACATCCAATGATATTCACGATGGCTAAATCAGACCGAATTCTTATACAAGAAACTTCAGACTAGTAAAGTTCCAACTAACCACCTACAGGAAAAGGGAAGTTCCAACCGAAACTAACCAACACAACAATATTTGAAAACACGGGGCAAACTTACACACTTGAAAGTTAGAAGCACGGAAACGTCTCCTGACATTCTTATCATCAAGCACTTGAATCTCAAACGTGAAGTACTTCTTCATGTTCTTGACAAGCATGACCAAGAAAGGCAGTTTTATACCGAGCGTCGCGTTAGGGTCAGCTGGGCATGTAATGTAAGTGGACTGGATTTTCGAACCGAGGATTTCCAGTACATTGGACTGTATGTCTTCATCATGAGGCCGTTTCACATGCCCATTTGAAACTGCAAGCAGACAATGCTGCTTGGCTTAGCATTTCAAAATTCATCAACTAAGCCTCAAACGAAAAAGAAAAGGTACGATTTGAAGCTTTTACCTTCTTTATCCCATATCTGCAGAGGTTTGCTCCTACACAGAGAAAAATAACCAACACATAGAAATGAAAAAAGACCGATAATTTACGACACTAAATTAAAACGCCAGGAAACCCAAAACTCACCCGAGACTGTAGAGGATGGAGAGGAATCCAGATTGAAATGTGTTTTTGAACATCTGGATGGTGGTTTAAGCAATTCAGGAGACTTCTGCATATGACAAAAAAGAAAACAACTTCAGAAGAAATTCGATACCCAGAGCACGCGACAGTCTCCAGAGTGTTCCATTGGGTTTTCCGGAGGTTGGAATCGAATTGAATACATTCTATCACCCTACCGATTGAAGGAAAGCGAACGCCGATACAGTAAGCTATCTAACTTCAATGATCGGAAGATCGAGAGAACTTAGAAACCCTAGAAACCGATCGTACCTGATTTCTGCTTGAACGGAGAGAATTGACGTTCGCCGCGGGAAAGCGAAGTTAACGGACCGAGGAGGGTTTGCTGGAAATTGGCAGAAACATGAGAGAAACGTCTTAAACCCGGGATGCAATACATGGGCCTGAATGGGCCGATCTATTTCGTACAGGAAGTGGAGATCGTTGAGCTCTCTACTTAGGGCTTCTATAGTTTTTATACCAACCAAGGAGGCCCAAGTTCATAAAATATGAATACGATATGGGCCTTGGTGTCTACAAATAATTTTAAGGGAATGACAATGAATTTTTTTTGCCACGTCAGCCTCTCCTGAATAAACCGCACACTGCGGAGGGACATTTATGTAAATTACTCAATCCTTCTCTCTATCGCTTCCTTCTTCCAAACCCTCCCAGAAATCTCAACCACCCCTGAAACTTGCCTCACTCTCAGGGCTGTCCATCTCCGGCAGTCCATCTCCAACCCCAGCGCTGAGCTGAGCAAACAATCCTTCTCAAAATCGGTCCCAAAATCGGTCCCCAAAGTCCTCTCTCAAATTGCGTCTTCAAGCAAACAATCTTTCTCTGCGCCTCCCAAGATCGGCCCGGCCCTGTTTTCGCTCATCTACACCCAAAGGTGCAGATCATCATAAACCCTATTCATATTTGTCGACCTTATGTGTGATTCAGCCCATACTCATATATTTTCACCTGCATGCACAAACGAACAAACATAAGCAAGATCCACTCAAATCATCAATTTCATTGAAACAAAATAAACAGCAATCCAGAACACAACAATAATAGCTTAGAGGAATGCAAGGAGATGTCGACTCGATTCAAACAACTATTTGGTGGTAAGCTCAACCCAACCTGCAACATAGTCTTTGCCATTGCAGCGATGTAGTCCTTCCCCAGGTCAGGTCGCTAGGCCTAGACAGAGAAGAACATGCATGCATCAGTTGATTTGGATTCTTCAGAGATCGACAGAGAGAAGCAATTTCCCAGCCGCTCTGTTGAGCTTCTGCCAAAACACTTCTCCTCCAAGTCTCAGGTAGAGACACATTGAAGAACATATATATGCATGAGCCGCGTGGCTTCTTCGCCTTGACCTGTCATTACTTTACAAGGCAGGGAAGGTACGAAATATTAGATAACGTGTCTGTAATAACAAAATCAAAGCTCACAAAATCCATTACTCTGCTTCCCACCGAGGCAAGGTCGGAGAACACTTGGCAAATGCAAATCAATCCCGCTTGCACTGCAGATACCCACGTGTTGATAAGGAGAGATGCATGCAAGTTGGATTTCATTCATCTTAATCAAGGATGGTTATGTTTCAAGATTTCTAAGTATTTGAAACATTGGAATAAAGATTTCTTTCCCTAATTTAAGCGTTAGATTAGTAGATGTTATGAATAGACGAAGATCATGGCATCAAAACATTTAATTAATTGGCTTGGTAATTGATCTTTAATGTATATTTGTATGTGTATAGACTGGACTAACTAAATTAATCCTTATTTTTATGTCGGTTACAATCCAATTAATTGGAATAAATTAGTAAGAGAGAAATATAGTCTAATGTAGAAATACAACAATTCTACATGCAATGATGCAAAATGTTTATCGTAGTTAATTTATTGGACATAACAACTAATGATAGCCCTTTTAATCAATATCAAGGTTGTCAAAGCACGGGTCGATCTGTCGATTGGGCCGATTTGACCCTGACCCGATGTAAAAAGGGTCATACACACCTGCCAGGTCGACCCGCCGCAAGGTATTAGAATGGAGTTCAAACCATGTTGTTTTTCTTTGGTTTGTGAAATACACTTATTTTTCGTTTTTCTTTTTGCATAACCCGGTCTTTGGAATTCTATGTTGACCATTTGAACATTGATGTTATAAAGCGTGTGTGAATTTTCACTATATGTTGGATCCAAGTACAATATATTATTTTGGTGTAATGTTATATGTTATTACTCATATGTTACATGATATTTTATATAATTTATAAATGTACGAACAATATAATCTTTAACTACATATCCCGGCTAAACCGGTCAGCCCATTACCAATTCATTTGCTCGACCAGATCAATGGGCTAAATCGGGTTGCAACCTTGCTGGATACTCATACATTAATTTGTATTGTGATTGAAATTATATAAATTGCATTATCACAAAGCAACACTACTTTTTTTTTTTGTAACAAAGCAACACTACTACTTGCATGATATCCACAATTATGATATTCATCAAACAATTAGCATTAACTAAATAAATAATAATAAGAGTTGAAATATCGAAATAAAATCAAACCGGCCAATAGGCCGGGCGCTATGCTAGTACGTAGTATATGCTTGCGCAGGGCTAATTAAAACTTAAAAGCATCATTATTCTGTTGATCACGTGACAAGTTAGGCAGGGAACATCTCATCTCATCTCATCTCATCTCATCTCATGGCGCAGTATATATCGGACTGCTAACAATTCAACTGCGTCTTGTTCATTATGTGAGGGCTAAGATCAGGTGACTAAGGGGTACCCTTAGTCACTTGGCTAAGTCAATCTGAGCCTTCCATGCTCATTAAAATCCTAAGGCTACAATTAATTCATTTTAAGGAAGGACAACATAGTAATTGTACATTTTAATTTTGTAATTAAAAAAAAAAAGAGTGTTTCCCTCACCTGTTTGTCGCACGCGAAGATGAATCCACAGAGACGACGGCGGCCATGGACGACGACGGCGGCCAGGGACGACGACGGCGGCCAGGGACGACGACGGCGAAGGACGACGGCGGCCAGGGACGACGGCGTTCTGTGTTCGGGGGAGAGAGAGAGAGAGGCGGAGGTAGAGGAGAAGAGAGAGAGAGGCGATGGCGACCGTAGAGGAGAGAGAGCGGCGGCGGTAGAGGAGAAGAGAGAGAGACGGCGGTGGCGGCGAGTAACAACAACGACGACGGCGAGGAACGGCGGCGGCGGCCGGCGAGGAACAACGACGAGAGGGACGACGACCGTGGAGGAGAGAGAGGCAGCGGCGGTTGAGGAGGAGAGAGACACCGACATCGCCAATTTGTTGGCGGCGACGATTTCGTAATTTTATCATTCCAGTTTGTATACTTTATGTTATGATTTGTACTGTTAGTATGTTTTGTATTGTTTGTCATTTTTTGTGATATTTTGTACGTTTAGTATGCTTTGTACTGTTTGTCGGGTTATTTTGTAATGTTTGTACACTTTTGTATTGTTTGTAATCTTTGTATGACTATTTTGTATATATTGTAATTTGTAACTTTTGTTGCTCAAGTTTGTATACTTTTATGTTATGATTTGTATACTTTGTATTCATTTGTTTGTAATACAAGTTTACCAATCTGTATTGTAAGTAGTTATATTTTGTACGTGTAGTATGCTTTGTACTGTTTGTCGGTTTCTTTTGTAATGTTTGTAATGTTTGCTGGTTTCTTTTGTATTGTTTGTAATGTTTGTTATTTTTGTCAACCATGTTTGTAATGTTTGTAATGTTTGTTGGTTTCTTTTGTATTGTTTGTAATGTTTGTTATTTTTGTCAACCATGTTTGTAATGTTTGTATTGTTTGTAATGTTTGTATGACTATTTTGTATATATTGTAATTTGTAACTTTTGTTATTCAAGTTTGTATACTTTTATGTTATGATTTGTATACTTTATATTCATTTGTTTGTAATACAAGTTTACCAATCTGTATTCTAAGTAGTGATATTCTGTACGTGTAGTATGCTTTGTACTGTTTGTAATGTTTGTTTGTAATGTTTGTAATGTTTGTTTGCAATGTTTGTAATGTTTGTTATTTTGTAATGTTTGTAATGTTTGTTGGTTTCTTTTGAATTGTTTGTAATGTTTGTTATTTTTGTCCACATTTTTGTCAACCATGTTTGTGATGTTTTTTGCATCACAAATCAGTACATATAAAGTATACAAATTATTAGTACTTACAATACAAAGCGAAACATACTAAGAATACAAGCAAAACATACTAAGAATACAAACTGTCAAAGAAAAACATACTAAGAATACAAACTGTCAAAGAAAAACATACTAAGAGTACAAACTGTCAAAGAAAAACATACTAAGAGTACAAACTGTCAAAGAAAAACATACAAACCATACTGACATTTTGTACAAAAATACTAACAATACAAACTAATGTTACAAAACATACAAACTATACAAATCACTATTCTTCCTTCAGATGACGATACGATGTCTCTCCACGCCGCCGCCGCTGCCGTCGCCGCCGCCGCCGCCGACTCTCTCTACAGCCGTCGTTACCTCTCTCTCTCCATCACCGCGTCGCTTCTCTCTCCTCCATCATCGTCGAAGCTCTCTCCGCCATCGCCTCTCTCTCCGCCATCGCCTCTCTCTCCTCCGCCACGATCTCTCTCTCTCTCCTCTGCGACAACGGCCATTGCTGCCTCTCTCTCTCTCTATCTTTCAATCGAGGTCGCCGCCTCTCTCTGATCCATCATTGTCGCCGCTGCCGTTCTCCGACAGACCCGCCGTTGGGTGTTTCTCTCTCCTCCACCACCGTCGCCGTTGAATCGAGCATCTCTCCTCCATCTCTCTCTCTCTCTCTCTGGACGGGAAAAGAGGAGACGGTTGGAGAGGAAGGAAAAAAAGAAATAAATAAATAAAACAAAACTGAAATTAGGAATTAATGAATTTTTTATAATGCCAAAACTACCCTTTTCATTTAATAATAATTTAACATTTTATCTGGACCATTAGATCAATCCAAGGGCTGAGGGGGCCTTAGTCAAGTGACTAAGGACCCCCCTTAGTCACCAGATCCGGACTCCATTATGTGATCCACATTTCTTGGATTGCGTGTTCCGTATGTTCCACCGTGATTGGGTGCACACAATAACAATTATAAATCCAATAATCATTTTTCCACCAAAAAAAAAAATCCAACAATCATATAAATTAAAACATGCAATTTAATAATTATTAACGTGTTAGAATTTCCCAATGCAATTAAAATCATATAATTGTATGCCAACATACATCATTCCACAAG